TAGCCTGCTTGTGCTACCACACTTTCCCCTCAAAATATCGTTAAATAACGAAACTTGTAAATAGTGCCAATCCTACAAAGTGTAACCACATCATGTAAATATGAAAGCAATCTTTAAAAATAACAGCGTTGGTTTAATCAATGACTATGTTACCATGTTTGTGCTGTTTTTGCCATAGAGAAGCATTGCCACGGAAGTGCGTTTGGAACTATCCCGGCATACATAAACCACGTGACCGGCTGGCGGCGACATCAAAGAGTGTCGTAACTCTTATCTCTCTCGGGCTCTGGTCCGGACAACGTAGAACCTTTCTTTTTAAAGATAGCTGCAGATTGTACTGCTCCACCTCTTACTACTCTTTTAACCTCTCCCTCAGCACAAAACAAATTCCCAAAAGTATGGAAGTCAGCTTATGTCCTGCCACTACTAAAAGGAGGGGAGGCCACCTTATTAAACAATTATAGACCCATCTCTAAATTGTCAGTTCTGGCCAAGGTTCTTGAACGCCTAGTGAGTGAACAGGTAAGGTGTTTTTATGTAACAATGACATCCTGTCTAAACATCAGTCAGGCTTCAGAAAGCAACATAGCACCATCACTGCCACAATGAAAGTGGTAAATGATATTACGAGTATTTTAGATAATAAGCAGAGTTGTGCAGCTCTATTTGTTGACCTATCCAAAGCTTTTGATACTGTCGATCATCGCATTTTGAAGCAAAGGCTGGTCAGTATAGGCATGTCCAGCCATGCAGTAGGGTGGTTTGTAAACTACATCTCTGAACAACACATCCTCACTCCCAGGTCGGCCTATGTTGACGTTATGTCAAGTCCCCTGTCTGCTTTTTCCAACGCAAGGGGGGGCCTTAGCGTCCATTTTCAACGCAAGGGGGGGGGCCTTAGCGTCCATTTTCAGCTTTCCGGGATGTCCATATGCTTCTATGGACGCTCATGGAAGCACGGCGTTCGTTTGTGTCGACTGCCCTTAAAGGCAATGTGAGCGTCCATTCTCATTGGATAAGGGAGAATTGTACACCCGGAAGTAAGTATTCCCCTTACTGTCGATTGATTTTACAGTGATATCTGCACTACTCATCGACTAAAAAACACCAGATTATCCTTGTTAATTGCACAACATTGATTGGTTTAAATTGTGTGCAATGCTTTTGTATTTTTCCCCTTCGATTCGGAGAAACAAATGTTTTTTTCGGAGTAAAGGATGGCAGAAGACACTACCACTACCCAGAATCCCCAGCTATCGTTTGGACTACACCATGTGCTCTGTTTAACAAACCCCGTGATAGTCCTCAAGCTCTGTGATTGGAGAGTGTGCTCCGAGGGTTACGCCGAGCCTCGAACAGCACTTGAAATGGGATGGAACCACGCAGACTGTCCAAAACTGGATTTGAACGGGTTCCCACCGCGTCCCCCCTCCCCCACCCTGTCCCCAGAACTACAAATGCTGGCTATTCTGTTTCGCAACATGTTCTGTATCTATGTCACGTCTCTACTGGGAGTTGTAGTTTTAAAAGACGTTTTCGTACTTCCCATAATAAGAAGTTGCCAGTATAAAACTGTGTACATCCCTGGAGGTTTAGGGGATAGGAAACACTCACATTTAAAACATATAATTAATAAATGGGTGAAAATTGCTTGTGCCCATAATGGGCAGCATTAATATATATATACACACATGCCAGCTAAGGTCAGAAGAGCTTTATTTAACAGCTGGTCTTATGTTTGTGATCCCTGTTGTTAATTGATAACATTACATTACATTACATTAATTGATAAGCCTGAAACATGCACTTGTTAAGGTTCAGAGGCACATTTTGCAAATATGGCAGTATAGCCATCGATCAGCTTAAGATAAGATATACTTTATTGATCTCAAGTTGGAACATTTGCGTTACATCAGCATGTGTAACAGTTACATATGCAGTGGTGTTTATTTGTAAATCATTTAGTATAATCACACAAATTCTGTGTTTTATATTTAACAATTCTGTGTTCTTTATTTATTGATTGTTCAATACCTGACAAGGTCGGAGATGAAATATCTACATACATCTTATAAGAGTATAATACATTATGTATAATATCAGTTAAAATAAGTGCTTCAACATAGTTAACATTGCTGGAGGTACGCACAAATATTGATAGATGTCTTGTAATGCACTATTGAGGAACCTGCGACCCAAGTTTTCATTCAATGCATAACTACACCATAGGTGTGTAGGCCTATATGATATGTCAATAAACCTTAGAAAATCTTGAAATCTTGAAAGGGATGTGCAAAATAGTCATTATATACAGTCTTTAATGAACTATTAGTAGAGAATAACGAGTAATTAATATACTTTATAGGGATCCTATTAATATCTAATGATACAAATAATGAAATTAAATAACATGCTTTAACCACTAGGTGTCCCTTTATATCAGGTGTGCACCTTTATGGTGTAAATACAGCCTATCTACCAATTGGATCAAATATAAAAGTCAGCCGAATTAGTGTTGATACTGCAAGGAGACGTATTGTGTGAAAAGAAATGTAAGATGCTGTTTAATGGCTGATATATTTATGATCCACGTCACGTTTTCAGTTCCTCATGTTTGTCTAGAAGTCTTCTCATCAGGGCTCTATAAATACAGAACTACGGCAGATATGTAATATTTAATGCAGCCGAACCGTGTATTACAATGCCGTTATGTGATGACTTCCAAAGATAAAAGCAAGCACACTCGGAATAAAGTATTATTGTATTTTTTTTCAATGTTTTCGGTCTGTTTCTGGTATTTGTTAATGACGATGTGCTGTGAGATGTGAGACTGGAATTGCACAGGGGAAAATAACGTAGGCTATCTTTAGATGCGGATTTTGTTAAACTAATATGTTTTCGCTGTGGACCAACACTATACATTGACGGGGAAGGGGGTAGCAATAAAGATAACACCATTAAACAGTTACACAACATAACAGAAATAATATCGATAGCAGCGTCCCTAGCAACCACCTTGGTAACAATGAAAACGTTATGGACACAATTTCCTGAAGTAATCTTCGTAATAACTAGCAAACTAAAGATCATGTACATCCACTGTACACATAATCTGAAATAACAACTCATATTTCTCGCATCAAATGACATCAAAACGCATTTTAATGGCCAAACTAACTTTAAAATAGGCATTTTCCATCGAGAATAAAACGAAGTTCGGCCATGTTTTTTTTTTCTTCAGGGAGAAATTTGAAGATCACGTGACGTCAAACAGAGCACATGGTGTAGTCCAAACGATAGCTGGGGATTCTGGGTAGTGTAGTGTCTTCTGCCATCCTTTACTCCGAAAACATATTTGTTTCTCCGAATCGAAGGGGAAAAATACAAAAGCATTGCACACAATTTAAACCAATCAATGTTGTGTAATTAACAAGGATAATCTGGTGTTTTTTAGTCGATGAGTAGTGCAGATATCACTGTAAAATCAATCGACAGTAAGGGGAATACTTACTTCCGGGTGTACAATTCTCCGTTATCCAATGAGAATGGACGCTCACATTGCCTTTAAGGGCAGCCGACACAAACGAATGCCGTGCTTCCATGAGCGTCTATAGAAGCATATGGACATCCCGGAAAGCTGAAAATGGACGCTAAGGGTCCCCCCTTGCGTTGAAAATGGACGCTAAGGGCCCCCCCCCTTGCGTTGGAAAAAGCCGACAGGGGACTTGACATAACGTCAACATAGGCCGACCTGGGAGTGAGGATGTGTTGCTCTGAAAGGTCCCAATGTGTTCAGTTTGATGGGCTGTCTTCTGAGTGGTTAAACATCACTAATGGTGTACCACAAGGTTCAGTTTTAGGTTCGCTATTATTCTCTATCTATATTAATAGTTTAGGTGAAAATGTCGAAGGAGCAACCTTACATTTTTATGCGGACGATACCGTTATGTACTGTGCAGGTCCCTCGATTAACAAGGCTGTTGTTAAATTACAGGCTGTTTTTAACATTATTCAGGCTCAGCTCTCTGAGCTTAAACTTCTTTTAAATGTGGATAAAACCAAGGTAATGCACTTTTCGAAAGCTAAAGCTAAAAATACACCAGAGACTGCTTTGGATATTGTAACTACGCAAGGAATACAACTTGAAGTGGTTACCTGTTACAAATACTTAGGTATCTGGCTTGATGACTGTCTCACTTTTAAACTTCATGTCAATAACCTGCTTAAAAAGCTGAGGGTTAGGCTAGGTTTCTTTTACAGAAATAAGTCCTGTTTCTCGCTTGAGGCCAGGAAAAGGCTAGTCACTGTGACCTTTTTACCTGTGCTGGATTATGGTGATTTGTTATATATGAATGCACCTGCCAATTACCTGAGCAAGTTAGATGCTGCGTATCACAGTGCACTGAGATTTTTGACAAATTGTAAAGCACTTACGCATCACTGTACCCTGTATACCAAGGCGGTTATGCCATCACTTACTGTACGGAGACTCAGTCACTGGTACTTTTTCATTTACAAAGCCATGTTGGATAAACTACCATCTAATATCTGCTCCCTGATCTCTCTGCGAATTGAAAGTACTTATTGCCTGAGATCGCATGCTGTGGTTTTATTAAATGTGCCAAGTGCTAGGACTGTCTTAGGGAAAAAAGCTTTTAGATGTGCAGCTCCACTAACATGGAACAGTCTGCAAAAAGAATGGAAAATTACCAAGCTAGTACCACTACATGTTTTTAAAGCTCGGTTGGATGCTACAAAATCAGATGCTGTTGGTACCTGTACATGTGGTTAAATATGTAAATTGTAATCCCTGTACATTTTGCTGTATGATGTCCTTTTGTTGTTCTGTTGTTTATGTTTTGATGTCTTCTTGTGGAACCTACTGCTGCAGGTCTCCCTTGAAAAAGAGATCATTGATCTCAATGGGATTTTACCTGGATAAATAAAGGTTTTGAATTGAATTGAATTGACAATCACCCTGCTTTTACCGTCCGGCGGTTGTTGGATGTGCGAAGGCGAGGCCGGGGGTTCCAGTACTTGGTGTATTGGGAGGGGTACGGGCTAGAGGAGCGTTCATGGATCTCCCGCTCCCTTATTTTGGACCCTGATCTTCTTAGGGACTTTTATGCTAGGTATCCGGACAGGCCTGGTAGGACGCCAGGAGGCGTCCGTTGAGGGCGGGGTACTGTTATGATTCTGTTTTGGTTTTGTTGTGTGCTCTTTTTGTGTTTTTTCTTGTCTCCCCCCTCCCTTCTCTGTTTTCCTCTGCAGGGATAGAGTGTGACAGGGAGTTGGCTGGCTCCTCCCAGCAGCAGACGAGGCACACCTGTTTCCACTCTCCTCTTCACCTGTTGATATAAAAGCCCGGTCCTCATGACACTTCCCTGCCAGATAATTACTTTGTGTTCGACCCTCCGGTGTGTCTCGCTGCTCTCCTCGTCCCTGTGATATTTTTGCTTGGATTTTTTCCTCCTGTCCCTGATGTCTCCGTGCCAGCCAGCTTCCTGCCTCCACTGCCGTTTTTCTGTGCCTCTGCTTAAAATAAACTTTTTGTTTTTGACCATCTCTCTCTAAGTCTTTTGCTTTGGGGTCCAATGTCTCTAGGCCGTAACAATACTGGCTTTTTAAAATCAAAATAAGTTATTCTCAGATGGATCGGCCAACACTGTTTGACTTCCACGGAGTCTCCATGATCAAACAATTCACTGACAGCTGGGAGGAGGTACAGAACTTCAAAGCGAGACCAGATGATATTGTTATAGTTAGTTATCCTAAATCAGGTTGGTTTCTATCAAAGCTACACTATGAATACATTTTATGTTGATGAATGCTCTGGATTGATGGGTTTTCTAAGTTTAGGCCGCTGAACAGATGTGTTGTCGATGTGTTTTAATCTCAGGAACAACATGGACCTGTTACCTCATGGATCTACTGTTTTTTGGGAAGACATGTCCAGAGCGCCTCCTGTCAATCCCTCTTCAGGAGAGAGTGCCGTTTCTGGAGATCAGCAGGACTTCCCCTACACCAGGTTGAATCATGTGTTAACCATCACTCAGATTTATTTATTTTGCACATTTTATCACAGCAGGTGACATTTAGTTTTGTTTAACACAGTATACTGTACAAAGTCCTATAATAGCTCTATAGTTACAACTATATCACCTCAGATCAGTTTTGTTTGCATACATGCTGAGGAGGTGATGAAAGTGTCAATGTTTCCCAGATGTTTGCTAACTTTCTGTGTCTGCTTTTGGCCCCGAGCAGAATATTTACAGAAAGGTACAGACTTGTTAGACCAGCTCACAACTACTCCTCGTCTGATTAAAACTCACCTGCCAGTCCAGTTTCTACCTAAGTCCTTCTGGGAGCAGAACAGCACGGTAAGAGCTTTACACAAACAGTATGTAGCCTGCAGAACATATGAGTTACCAACCGCATTTAAATATGATCATGATAGATTATAATTAAAAAAACATTTCTTTCTGTAGATAATCTATGTGGCTCGCAATGCAAAGGACACTGCTGTGTCGTATTACCATTTTTGCCGCATGAATTATTGCATGCCAGAACCAGCTGATTGGAGCACATTTCTACAGAATTACAAGGAGGGAAAGGGTGAGTTTAAACTAGCTTTAGTGTTAAAGCACCAAGCCTGTTTTTCAGATTTCAGGCTCGAAAATTACATTCCCAGAACAAATGACCATATCTTCCCTTCTAAAAAGGTTAAATTAATAATCTTTTTTCTCAAAGTAATGATAAACCTGTGAGTTGGATGTAGAAAAGTCAGAATCTATATAGATGTTTTTTATTTTAAAGAAAATTCAGATTGAATATGGTATAAAACTATAAATTATAGTGTCCGTCCAAAAAATATTTTGTAGGCCTACTTATAGTGAAAACTAACCTTGGATGATGGGTTAGTAGACTAAAAGCTTTAGCAATCCAAAGTACAACATATAATAAGTACCCTGTATCAAGATTGATGCAAAACAAGTGATATTTGACCTTTTTAGACAGATTTAGCAAAAAAACCTCTTCTGGGGCCATTTGGGTGGATTTTCCATATCTCTGGCCCCCCTTGTTCGATGTTGACATGTGACATCTCTTTCTGACCGTTAGAGCCAATAGAATCGAAGGGAAATCGTCCCGCACACACTCATGTTAAAAAAAAAGTGTTGCGTCTCCTCACATGCAATATTGCTTCAGAGCGTAGGAATAACCCTGCTCTGATATTTGAAAATGGAATTGCAGTTTAGTTGCTTATAGATTATCAGAACATTTCAAAGGGGACACAGTCACATTGGATATTAACCTATGGATTAACTACAGCATCGTTTTTATCGTTTTAATGCCATTGAAGACCAGTTTTGACCAGACAAAGACCTAGGTAAGCCATGTTAGCGTTTTAGGCTACCTAGCGCCACATGTTTTGATGTACGTTTTTGTTGATAACGTCGCAAGTTTGTATCTTTCAGCGTTGAGGTGGGCACCGTTAGATTCGGTGTATTTACGATCATAAACGATGTGTTGGATGTGCAGCTAGGATAAGTAATAAGGGAGCTAGGAGTGATTTTTGGTGCAGTAATAGGTTAGCATTTTTCGCTCGGGGCTAATTCAGAGGGTCACTGTTAGCATTGTGTGTTTTTTTTGGAAAAAAAAATGAAAAAGATCAGTTAAATGAGTTTTTTCCCATTATATGGATATAAAATATTCATAGTTTATTAAATATTAAAGAGCCTGTGACAGCATCCCAACAACTGTTGTGCAATGAAATATTGGGCTACTAGTAATCTCGAACCGTCAGTTTAAAAAAGAAAAAGCGATACCGTTCCGTTAAATATCAATAATTTCGAACATCGCGGGGAAATTCCTTCGACTCATTTTGAAGTTTTGGGGGAAGCCGGAAGTGACGTCAATGCGGGAACGCTTCACTGTGCGGCGAGAGAGCCAAACACGGACAAAGTGTGTTGTCATGCGTAGAAATTGTGAATTACTGAGTTTAGGCACGTTAATAACATTTTAATGAAGTTGACTACAGTATATTCATATTTGTCAGTGCTTTCATGTCAATTCGGCGAACATAAACATAAATGATCGTGGTGAAGATGATGATTACATTAGGATTAAAAATCGGTAGTGAGAGCTGCTGAATTTCCTCCTGTATGTGATATAAAAACAAATCGATTATTTTTGTAGTTGTAAACTCAAGTGGATGAAACTACATTTATTAGTGCTTTCATGTCAATTCGGCGAACATATGATACATTAAATGATCGTGAGAATGATGATTAAAAATCGTTTGTTTGAGCCGGTATGCATTTCCTGATGAGAAAACAAACCGATGCTTTTTGTAGTTGTAGTACACCAACATGGATTAAACGTGTGGTTTTTTCACCACAATGTTGGGGAAATTAATGGATAAAATGCACGGATTATTATTATTATTATTCCCACTCCGATCGGGACACTAGGTCCACCGTTTCCCCGCAGCGAGGCTCCCCCCGTTGACAGTTTACGTGGGCTGGGTGCAGTGGCAGACTGGCCATCGGGACGAATCCCGATGGGCCGGTACCGAAGTGGGCCGGTCGGATAAGTCACTAGCACATCCCCCATAGGCGGCGCGTGAGGCTCAGGTTTGGGAAGGCTAAATAACTGTTTGTACCTGACGCTGCCCGCCTCCGGCGTCTATAGAAAAGAGATCAACTCAGTGTGCGGAGTTTAAATCTCTCAAGTCATATTACAGGATAAAGGTAATACAGTTTAAACTGCCGTATGCAGAGAAGACGCCGACGTGTCGCACTTATCATTCATATTACATCATCAATCAGATCATCGATCATATAATATCATAATATATCATATATTTCCTTATCTGAGTCAGCTTCTCCTGCCGTATCTGGCCGTGCAACACTTACAGTGTCACATACTGTATGCAGAAGTATTATTTTAAGCAACACATTATGTTGACGAAACACTCGAGTCAAATGTAATTAAAGTCAGATCCACTCGTGTCTTAGACGTGAACGCGCTCTCAGTTGGAGAGAGAAACCCTGGCTTGATTTACCGAGTTGATAACCAGCGTCGTAGGACCGCTTAGCGAGATCTCGTTTGTTAGTTTGTTGTTGTTAGTTTGTGTGTTACTCAAACATATCCAGGGTATGTTGAACTGGCTTCGTAGTACAGGGCACAAGTGGCTAGCAGCGCTAATGTGAAAGACACAGACATTGCATTATATTTGTATTTTACCAGGATGCAGTGACACAAATATTTACATATTTACATTTACTATCTACAGCACCCGCCGCCCCTGACATCCCCCACTCCCCCCGTTGACAATTTACTAGCGGTACCGAAGTGGGCCGGTCGAGAGTCCCGGGATGATTTTTAGTCCCATTCCACCACTGGCTACATGACCGTATGATCGCCCATATTGACGCACCTAATTCCTAAACTTCTAACAGATACAACATAAACCGATCCTTCAGCCTCATATGAGCTCTCAGACACGTTCAAAATTAAACTGTCATCGCTGTCTGAGCTTGCTGCTGTGTGCGCCATCTTGCGTTTACATGCAGATGCTGGGATCCTGAACGGTGCAGCTGGAGCGCTGTGCCCGCAATGACGTCACACATAATTTGGCGGGACTTGAAGAATCCTCGAGAAGATCCAGAAAATGGTCAACATTGAAGGGCAGATTAATGGTTATCAAAGTACAAATATCCAAAATCAGTTCAGTAACGGTTTTCAAGGGGACAATATTTACTCAAATTGATGGGTTTGGATGATGGGGGAAACTCGTGTCACAGGCTCTTTAAGGTTCCTTAGACGTTGTTTCCTGCAAATGACGCGATTTCGGCCCCGGAACCGGGTCCGTGGGGCTTAAGAGGTTTTTAATGAGGCTTAATATCATGTCATTTCTCATGCAGCATTCTTTCACACACACATACGGGTTTTGGGCCGAGGGCGACACCGTACTTCCGGTATCCGCCATTTCACACGAGGTGCAAGCAGAATATCATAGTCTATTGCCTTAATCAATATAGTCAACTCTAAAATACCACATATATGCATTGGCATGATAATATTATTGTGACAAGTGGGATATTCACCTGGTGTTTCCAGAAGATAGACGTAGATGCTGCCAAAATCGACCGAAGGCCACTTTCGAGGATAGTTTTTCCATACATCTGCAGGCAGTCTGTAAGGGCAATCCGACAACCCACACAGCTCTAGTTTACGCTGGTAACGACCTAGAGCACACCCCTCAAGTCCAGAGATGTAATCCGAAGAGATGCAGCGATTTCTTCGGTCGTTAATTCAGAAAAAAAAACCTAGTGCGCTCTGCCTGGCTACGTTAGCTAGCTGTTTATATTTGCACCTCCAGGATTTTTGCACCTCCAGAAAAATGGCGTATTTATATATATATATATATATATATATATATGGCGCGCGTTGCATTGTGGGTAGCTCATGACGTCACTGTGTGAAAGAATAGTAGGTAGAGTGGCCGTCTACCAATCCATCAATGTTTATCAATCTTAATGAGCAAGTGGTATCTTGTAGGATAGCCTCTGTAACCAGTGTGTGTGTGTGTGACAGCAAACTTGTGTGAAAAATTGTGGTCACAAAGACTAGAACAAATACTAAATGCAGTCCATTTACCATTTGTTATTATGTGGCTCTAGTGTCATACGGCTCCTGGTATGACCATGTGAGTGGCTGGTGGGAGATGAAACGGAGTTATTCGAAACTTCACTACATGTTCTACGAAGATCTGTCTGAGGTGAGCTGCAGTGGGTTGTATTTGGGACATTTTCAACAGAACTGTTAATCTTTAAAATGTTCTTGAACAAGTAAGATAATGTATTGTGAATACATACATGTCGTGAAATTGTCGCAGTTTTAAACACGTAGCGTGAATGTAAACCAAACTGCTTGGTTGGTTTAAGGAAAAGAACATGGTGTGGGTTAAAATAGGTACATTTCTTGCATGAGTTTGGTTACATAACAAATACGTTATTACGGTTTTTAAGGTACCTTTAAATAAGGTAATGTAAAAAAAAGGTCAACATTGACTTTTGAAGTAACACAGGACATAAACACTGGTCTCTTGGGTAAAAATCCTATGTGTTTTTGATGCATCCATACAGTGGAAGTTTGCTCTATATACTATACTGATTGACTTCCTCCTTTGCTCCTCTACTACAACTATGGCCACTAGAGGTTAAATATGTGCAGTGATAATCTTCTTACACAGTAATTATGGATGAAGAACCTTAATGCAGATAAAACTGGTGGAAAGGTATTTATACTAATCTCCTGGCGTCAGTTTCATAATTATCAAACAGGAAGGAGAGGGGTATGACATGTTAAATCTCATTCTCTGCAAGAGTGGAAGCCTATATTTCTGACAATTATTTTCTGTTTTCTGTTATGCAATATGCATCGAGATGTTTCGGAAAATTATAGCATTTTTTAGACTGGTTGTTGGTCAAAAAGATTATTACAATGCATATGTAATGTGTCAAGGCTGATATTCTTTCATTTTCTGCAGGACACGGGACGAGAGATGGACCAACTCTGTTCCTTCCTTGGGTTATCTCTTTCAGCTGAGGAGAAGGAAAATATCCTAACCAGAGTGAAGTTTGACAATATGAAAACGAACAAGATGACCAACTTTTCCACAATCCACCATATGGATCAAACCGTGTCTCCTTTCATGAGAAAAGGTACAGTGGGAAAAGTTTTTTGGGAAAGAAGTTCCTTACTAAAAAGTCTACTGTTTGCCACAAAATCTGCTCATTTAACATCAATTTTATTTATCAAGCACATGAACGATTCTCTGTTTCTCTAGGGAAAGTTGGTGACTGGAAGAACCTCTTCACTGTATCCCAGAATGAAAAGTTTGATGAGGACTGCAAGCAGAAACTGAAGAATCCTACACTGCAGTTTCGTTACGATGCAGAGGCGGCAAGTGTGGCTCGGGATATGGAAGGCTAACATTTGATCAATTGTTCTGCTTGTTTTAAGCACCACAGAAGACGTTTTTATGTTAACAACAGCAGTTGTATGCACCTATTTGCTGAACATATAATATTGTAGAATTGGCATGTTTTATAAGGCTACTTCTAGGGGGAATTGGTGTGCAATGGATAAGGGACCAAACATGTAGAGACGGCTAAGCCTTCATACCCACCTTGTTTAGAGACAGGCCTGCTGTTTAAAATGTCCTGAACTGTGATTATTTTCCATTTGACTGCATTTTATAAACAAGATGTGGACGCGCAAGTCGCGCAGATTACGTACATATAAACCTGCGACGGAAACCCCTCTCGTCTGTCAGTGTGATTATGACTGACTTTAGTAAGTAACAAAAGTAACGCGTGTCGGGGCAATGTTAGTAACTGGAGTGGGATTACTGAATTATAAAAGTAGCGCGTTACACTACTGGGTCATTCTACAGAAAAGGTGGAAGTGCTGTCACTTACTTTTGCAGACACCAAAATACATGACGTTGACCTAATACTCGCATTCATTATATATGTTGAATACAGAGATTGTCTTTGCAATGGTAGCCTACTAAATAAAAAATAAATGGTTTTATAAGTAAATTGCAATTTATTTAAAATGCCAAGTTCAAGGGACTGCCTTGTCACTTTGATCATACATGGAAGTGGAGCCTATAGTTTTAATCGAAAAGTTTCAATAAATCTAATTTATAATTACATAACATTACAAGCATTAAATATAACACTGAAATGGTAAAAAAAAACGCAAATTATTATTAATAATATCAAATAAATGTCAGTCACCCAAAATTACATCATTGGTGTTACTGCTACACAAAACGCTTTTATTTTGAAGTAATGTACTGTCTCTGAGGTGCCTCCTGTAACAAGAGTTCATTTGAGACAGTGCAGTGGACAAAGACATAAGGAAAGTCAGATACTTCTTACGTTGTTTGTTAAAGGTGTCATTTTATCTTCAAATGTTACGTGCGTCTTTCAAGTCTGTCATTAGTGTTACTCATTGCATAGCCCTAGGGGTGAACATTTGAATGGGAAAATGTATTGTATTGAAGAGTTAAACGATTTTGATATTGACTGAAGCCATATTTGGTCTGACACATTGCAGCCATTTAGTTAAAATGTTAGTGTTTTCTCCAAATTGTCACTGGTGTTACTCTTCTTCCTGGTAACACCAGTGACATTCCTATACAAATAAGCTTTGTATAAAAATAATACAAAAAATAAAAATACTTTAAGCTCTACTTGTTGTGGATTCATCAAGTTAAGAGTTAGTTATTGCTATTTAACAGGTTTTAGATGTTTTTAGAAGGAATATATTTCAGCAGATTTGTATCACCCAGATTCCACCTTTTCTGTAGAATGACCCTACTCCGTTACCGACAAAAGTAATATTATTACAGTTACTTTGTAACGTGTTACACCCAACACTGGTTACCATTATGCGATATCTGAAGTAGCCTACATACAAAATAAACAGCAATACTAACATGTTTACTCGTTTTTATTTGAATGCAGACATGAAATGCAGCAAGAAATACAAGAGTTCAATGAGCAAAGTAAACATATTAATCTAACACTTTACTTCTGCACTGTGACCACAGACTGGAGGGGGCACATTGAATGTATTTTCTATGGCACGTACAGCTTTGGTGAGGAAACAACACTGCTGGAGGTACCGCCCTGTTCATAGAGTAAAAGCGGTAACAGCGAGTACTGATCTTATGGAATGTACAAGGCCGTTGTAATGTAAATACTAAACAAGTCAAGTATCACTGGGAGGTACTGAAAGTCACCCTGAGGTAACCGGAAAAACAAGTTATGGAATAGGACTCATCAGAAACAGAGGCATGATTTAAGTTTTATTCCAAAATGACACTTATCCACTTTGGAAAAATGTCACTTCTTGAAATGTTTCAATATTCACAACAGTAACCCAAGAAAACATTCACATAACGATTTTGTGAGGCTCATTTTTAAAACAAAATACGTCATATCTCATGTTGGAACAAAACTTTTCAAATACAAGACTGAGGATGAAACCACGGGGCTATATTGAAGATCACCAAACAGGTTTGAGATAAATCATTGACTAAATATGGTTCCATTTGAAGTGCTCTCTGTTTTTCCTTTTTTCTGCAACGTCGTAATTCAACAGAAATAGAAGAATTAAAAATCCTGCAGATCTCGGCCATCCGTTATTCATTTAGCAAGACCAGCGTCAGTATAATCTGAGCAAAACTCAGAAAGTCATGAACACGACCTCTGAAGGTAAGTATTAACTGAACAGGTGGAAATCTGATGTTGAAATAGCAATAGCATAACTGTCTGCACAGCTTGGACACATAAGCAATAACTCTTTAGATTGTCTTTCACAGTAGCAACTACAACTATGTTTCAAATACACCTTTATTCATGACATCAAAAATAACAATATTTACATTGTTGCTTATACATGATATATTTGAAAGATATCTTTTCTCGAGTAGTAAAATACTTTAGTCTAGTGCTCAGGCTTACTGTTAAGTGCTCTGTTATTGAGTCAGGTCTATTATACGAGATCTGAGATTCATGTGGTGCAGCCCTGCAAAGCTGTGTGACGTTTAGGAGCAGTGTGTAGGGTGCCGTGGCATATAGCAAACCAAAGGAATACCCCTCTGCTCACTGTTACTTTTCAAGTGTGTATAAGCACCTATAATGGTCTTTGGGTAACATAGAAAAGCAAAATCCTGGCGGACTCCACGGAAGAGGATCCACTCCCTTTGTAGGTATGACAGGCTCATTATATGTTTGCCAATAGATCCCCCCATAGCTCCTACACACTGCTTCTTTAACTAACATATCAAAAAGTCTGAATAATTAAATTAAATTGGTAGGATTGTGATTATGTTTAATATTTTTCTTCAAATCCCGTAAAAATGCAGTCAGAGGCTTTAATTGTAAATAACTACTGTTGGCAAAAGCTTGGTCCTACAGCAAAATGACAAGATAAAATGCATTAACCTCACAGGTCAATGCTTGATGTTCATTGTGCAGTTCAGCTACAGCTAAAAGCTTCAGCAACAGTTTCACAAACAAGCATGCATCTGTATGTTTGTTGTCGTACCTCTTAATGTAACCAGCTTAACAGCATTGAAGGAAGACTGGATGAACACAGCAGCACATTAGGAGCTTAGTGATCTGTTGCTGAGTCACTATGATACTGGCAAGACGCTCGTGAGAGTTAACCCAAATAATGGGTTTATAGATCCATAAAAATAACACAGAACCATCCAAGGTTATGTATGGCACATCTTTACATTACAAAGCAACTTCAAATAAGGGAGACCGCAAATAAACTATGCGGGCAATGACAATTGCAATTGCAATCACAATTGTTGATATGCAGAAATGTTTTCACGAAAACAATAGGAATGGGACTTATAGATGCTTGGAGCCTTTGTTTCCTACCCTTGAAATGTATTGAACCTCTCAGTGTTGTTCCCGGACATGGGAAGAATACATTTATTACGCATTTCACACGCATTACGTGTAGGGATCTGCAAAAATCCTATCAAGGAATTGTTGTAATGCGCGTCTGTTCTCGGTTTACTGGAGACGACACCAGTGCTTTGCAGGCGTGTCCGAGAGAATAACATAAAAACAAAGGAGATATGTTTTTGTGTGGGTGTGCGTGCGTGTATGTGTGCGTGTGTGTGTGTGTGTGTGTGTGTGAGAGAGAGAAAGAAAGATGAGTGTGCCGTGATGTTTATCTGTGCTATATTTCCAATTTTACTCCCAGAGTAAAGGTATAACATATATTTTTTCCCAAACACAGATGTTAAATCCTTTAACAAGATAAAAGGCAACTAGGTGATATCCTTTAAGGTCATCACCAAGAGACACTTTTGAATAGTTTCCCTTTTCTAAAAATGATTCATTCTTAGGCAATGATCAAATGTTCCCAATTTGTATGAAGTCTTGATCAGGAAAAGTTTTTGTTAAATGGGTGTTTAATGTGTGGTAATTGGTCCTCATGTCCAAAGTTTGGTTCATAGATCAATGATTTCACTGCTGACACTGGCAGAGTCGTCATGTCGGCTGACCTCCAGGTAACTCCGCGACCCCGCCGGCCTCCCAGCCCTCCCCTGCACCCTCTCTGAGTCTGGGGTGATGAACGGACGCGTGTCGTCCACTCCGTCCTCCCCCAGATTCTCTGTTGACGTTCTGGAGGGACGAAGTGACACAGGGCAGGACACTGATGAGGGGACGCTTCCCATCGCGTTCCCAGGCCACCTGTTACCCTGGTGGGAGGGCGTGGGGGGAGCAGTCACCTGCCTGCTGGGGACACTGCTGAGCACGCTGCCCCCTAGTGGCATCGAAGACTCTGTCGCCTCGCTGCTATCAGAAAGCATCTGAGGATCACTGTTCCTGCGGAGCCAGGGACCCTGACTGACCCCTGACCCCGGGGAGGGGCACTGTGAGGCTTGGGCAAAAGGGTGAAACAAGCTTCCTCCTCCGAGCAGGTACTCCCTGTGCAGCGCCTCGTCTATGCTGCGGGTCAGGTCAATAGGTGATGGGGGCCGCAGGTCGAACTCGTAAAGAGACAGTGTAGTGTCCCCCTCCAGATCCAGGCTGCCGCTCACAGAGCGCTGAGGGGGCCGGCCCAGCGCCTGCAGTCTGAGCAGGGAACCTGTGGAGCCATCAGAGAGGACCCGCTCAGCAGAGAGGCCCCGCTCCGCAGAATGGCCCCGCTCCGCAGAATGGCCCCGCTCCGCAGAGTGGCCCCTATGGTTGCGTCCCCTGTTGCTGTCTTTGACGCAGCGTGGCTGGGCCGTGGCCTGCTCGTGGTTCTGGTTCCTGATCAGACTCTTGCTGATGTCAGCTCCAGGACGCTCCTGACCAGCCCAGTTGTTAGGCAACTCCCCTGGTCCCCCTCCTCCTCCTCCTCCTCCTCCTCCTCCTCCTCCACTTCCTCCTCCACTTCCTCCTCCTCCCACCCCATTACTGTCAGACTTTTTACAGGGCTTCCCCCTCAGGCTCTGGACTATCTTGGACCAGCAGGTGTGTCTTTGAGAGGAGCTTGTAGATTGGCCAGGGGATGGCAAGTCTCCTGCTGCCCTGCCATCCGGTCCCCCCTCCTCTCTTCCATGGCAACCTTGCGGCCTCCAGAACACCCAGGAGCCCAGGAGGAGGAGGGAGAATCCCCAGGCCAGCTCAAGGAGCCGGGCCCAGAAGTGCACCAGCCACCAACCCCAGTTGAAGCGCGTCCAGTCCCCTAGCAGTCCATAGAGCCATAAGGTGGCATGGACATGCAGCCCACAGCACAGGGCTCCCAGGACTGCACACACTGCCAGCACTCTCCCCAGGATCACCCCTGTCCTCCTGCTTCCTGTCCAAGCCTTCCTCCTGGCCTCTTCAGGAACTCCATGGTGGGGTATGGTAGGGCAGCGTACACGGGGAAACACATAGCATAGGAAGCCCAGACAGAGAGCTAGGCCCCAGCACAAGGCCAGGACCTGCAGGGTGACGGGCACCACAGGGGACAGGGCTGGGGACAGCAGATCAGCGGCCAGCAGCAGGGTGCACTGCAACACAGCCAGCACCGCCACCAGAGGGGGACGCTCCAAAGAGGAAGGTAACACACTCACTCCTGCCACCCTCAAAGCCAGCAGTGCCAGGGCAGCCTGTGCCCACACCAGCAGGTGGAGAGGCAGGTTATAGAGGGCAGTAACCGCGGGGCGAGGCAGGAACTTCCTGGTGCCATAGGGGTCCATCAGAAAGAGAGCCGCCCTGAGGCCTCCAGCGAGAAACAAAAGTGCATTGGCCAGTGCAAGAGCCCCCCGATGAGGACAGTTTGCGCCGGGGGACAGGGTGAGGCCGAGAGCCGCTCCAGCAAACAGGAGGAGGAAGAGGCTCACGGAGCCGTAGACATGCAGCTCCCAGGCGAATGCCAGCGTCCGGCTCAGATCACCCCAGTAGAGAAGTGTGCCGTTAGAGGAGGGGCTGTGGCTGGGGGATGGGGCTGGGTTAGAGGTAGTGTGTGGAGCTGGTTGTCCAAGGAGAACGGAGCGGTTCCTCTTAACAATATCAGCCTGAAATGTGGGGCTTAGTCTTGTTCGCATGACACCAGTGGAGGTCCCTACAAAAAGAGAAAGAGAGATTGGATTTTCAAGAAAACCTTTTAAAATGCCATTTATCTGAAAAGCAGAGCAATAGTATAACAGTACATACAATACTATTCAGAACCACTAGAGGGGTGTAGCTCACCATCACAAGTCATGAGCTAGGACCATCTTGCAGTTCTCAATGTAACTTAATGGGTTTGCAGACACATTGTCCCAGATCTATTTATAAGTATGAAGACGCAGTCTAATAAAATAAGCCCAGTATCAGACCTGCACACTCAATAATTTTTATTTAAGAAATCTTTTAAAATGTAAATGTCTTCCTTTTCGTTTTTGGTTTAGGTATCAGATCTTTGTAAAGTTACTCATCAGCTGTATCATTGCATCCAAAAACATGGCTTTGAAATAGCAGAGCTAAACCAAAAACAGTGCCTCTTTGTGTGAGCAGAATTGATGGAGAATGATTAAATGATAGATAAATAAGTCACATAAAACTTCACAGGTAATAAAAACAATTGAGGACTAACATCAAATATTAGTAGCATGAAATATAAGAACAATGTTAACACATACAGTCTAATGTCATTTACATTAGAGTATTGAAAAAATAAAATTAGGTGGGGAAGATCCTGTAGAAGCTGTCTTAAATCTCAGTATGATTTGTACACTATGCCACCACATTGTGCACATTGAATTCATAATACATTATGTTGAGCTAAACTCCTCAGGATTACTGAAAAGTAATTGTGTGGTTAAATTGGATGAGATTATATAATTAACAGGAGGATCTACATTACGTAACAACAAAAGACACAACAGTGCCACAAAGCAGTCACGGAAACCCTCCTAAAAAATTATTTCTCAATGCATGACTACCTCAAGGAACAACACCTTGACAATTTGACGTCTGATTATGTCTTCATGTCTCTCTTTCATTTTGTGCATGCACACGCATACTTCTGTTTGTTCAAGGCACTGCACCTAATCCTTTTGTAAAACTCTGGAAACACCCACAGCATTATAATCATAGGGCCATTCATCACTGAGCCCTTTGTGAAATATTCATATGTAAAGATAACAAAAAGCAAAAAAAACATATTGAGCGAGTGCAATATGGTATACTGCAATACTTTAAGGTTTTATTTATATTAATTTAACATATTTGTACTTTGTGCCTCTACTGTGACATGTTTCGTGCTTTTAATGTTTAAAAAGGTCTTTCTCATACTGCCAGTGCTGCAGCACCTCTTTTCACCCTCTGTCTGAAACCAGAGCCCAGTCTGCTCTAATGGTTAGCTGGACGGCTCTGTTGTGATTGGTCAATGGCTTATAGATGCCCCGCCCCTTTGCCTATCACATACAATGTTTTGGAGCACTATTTAATATAAGGGTGGTGTTACATTGTGATGTCACCATGTTATAGAAGTAAACAAAGGAGTCCAATGGATGTGTTTCAGGCAGGGAGTGTGTGGGAGAGAAACTCCCTCTGCAGGGAACTTTGGGATTTTAGCCTTTGCAGACCATTTACATGCACAAAAACCTATACAACAAACTCAATGGAAAGGGAAACCCACAAAAAATATAATAGGGCCCCTTTAAGTTCAAGGCAGAAATCTCCCCGACCTTATTGGAAGCAAGATACATTTTTTCCAACTGTCACTTCAGTATATAGAACACTAAATTAATATAATGGAAATAAAACAACTACTACATTACAGGAAGACAGCAAGGACATACAAGATAATGACTATAACCTTAATGATGCAGACCTAAGAAACAGTCGCAGCTATCTATCGGGAATTATGTCTAAAGTAACATTTAACCTTAAAACTTGATGGATGGTGGAACACGATGATGAGTGGTAAATGACTTAAGCAGTCAGCCGCTTGGAGGACGTTAAGCACGTCCTCTCCGTGTAGAAGACACCCATAAAGCTGACACACTGACTAATGACTCACTCCAACATGTGTTTCACTTCCTGGCTCTCCCCCTAGCTCCGTCCCTCCAATCACACACACACATGTTTCACTTTCACATAGGCGAGCACTGCATACAGATCACAGACACACTTCTTTATTTATGTAAAAAGGTATGTTTTACTTCCTTCCCTCAAACCCCGTTTTGTTTTTCCTCTTACAGGAGCAAGATCCAGACACATTCCAGATGTGCTGATCACATTTCACAGCTGGATACACTTACTGCTACCCTTGAGTTTTTATTTTCTTCAACACACTGCTTACACTGCTTTAAATGTCCACAAGTTGAAATAAAAATATATTATTCTCCATAGACACCCAGTTATATGTTTGTGACCCTGATATAAATGTGGACAGATATTTGCATTCAATACAAACAGGTATTGCCATGGATGCAGGATATTCATCATTTAAATTATCTATGTGAAGACTTGTTTAAAAGTCATTATTACGCTGTTTTTATGGTATCTAAGAGACTGGCTTATGCCCTCCGTGTGTCATACTTTTTTTATTTTCCATCTCTCTTTTAAACCCCACTCACTTCATCCCTTTCTCTGTGCATCTGGTTTTCATTTCCATCCCCACTCCCTGAATTGCTATGCCTTTCTTCCATCACACTTTCACCCACCCCATCTACTCTCTCATCTGCATTCCCAACTGCCTCTTTCTCAGATCCTTACTTTCCCCCTGTCTATCTCTTTGCATGACTGCCCCCCTCCTCCTCCACCCTCCCTCTCACCTCCTGCTCATACTTTCTTCCCTCGCTGTGTCTATCCCACACAACTACCACCCCACTTTCCATGGAAAAGTGCCTCTGAATGTTCCCTCCTTTGAAGCCTTTTCCAGGGTCTTCCAGTAAAAAAGTTCCAGCTGCATACATAATTCAATTTTAAATCATCAAGGATAAAGGAGGCAAGTATAGTAGTAAAATATATAAATATCTTACCTGTACTTGAAGACTGTATAGTTGCGCTAGATGTATTTCTTCCCAGATGTTCCATTTTGTTGGGTTGAAGTGTTGTTTTGGTGAGTTTTCTCATTGCCTCCTGTGTTGTAGTAAGCACATTTTTTGTAGATGTGGTTGTTACTTGCTGTGTTGTGGTTTGTTGTTCTTCAGTCCGTGACTGTTTAGAGCCAGTGGTGGTAGTTGTGGGTTGGGGTAGTGTCACAGCAGCCTGCTTTGGAGTAGCTCTCACGGTGGAAGGAGTGTTCTCTGTCAGTTTACCTACAAAAGGGTGGATAAGACACAATTGTGTGTAAATCATTTTACCTCAACAGCACTTAGAATCATCAAATATATATATTTGATATCTCACCTGTTAATACTATAGTTGCCTGGGTAACCACAGGGGAGGGGGTGGCTCTTGTCTCAGTCTGTGGCGTTGTGGAGATTTTACCGGCTGTTGTAAGCACAGGCAGGTAAGGGTTCATAGCCTGACTTCCCTCTGGTGGTGTTTCTACATCAAAAGCGTTTGCCGTCTGTGCCTGTGGCTGATACTGCGCCATTTCATCCTCAACCGTGGCCTGAGGAACAGATGATTCCTCCTTCACAGGCATTACCGTTGGAATATGACCTGATCCCAGCCCGTTTAAATCCTCATCCTCCGTCTCTTTGGGTGACCCTTCTTCTGAATTTCCTGCTGTCACTGGCTTATCACCTGCAGACTCAGTGAAAGCAGCAGAGGGGAAAGTTGGCAAAGGTGGAATTGAGCCTTTTGTAGAAGTATCTTCCTTTATAAAAGCCCCGTTCAATGCTAAACCAGCTGTATCAGTTCTGGGCCTGGAGGCAGTGGGTTGAGTTAAAATTAGCCCACTGCTGAGGTTCTGCGTGGATAAAGCAGATACTAATGGAGGAGTGAACTGTGGGGTAGGACGGCTTGTTCGCCCCTGTTGCACTGCATTAGTATTTTTCTGTCTATCCTGGACTGTAGCTCTGATAGGCACATCAGTGCGCCCTCTGGGAGGCAAAGAAGGCCAGAGTCCAGCAGTCTGCTTTGTAGGGTGAGGAGAGGAATTATTAGGCAGGTCCGGAGCAGAGAATGAAGAAGAAGAGCCAATGATGGTCTGGGTATCTGAAGGATGGAGGGAGGAGAGGAGGAAGCCCAGGAAAAGGAGACACTTGGGAGCCATGGTCTGCCTGTGAGTGGAGAGCGGTGACTGTTCCCTCTGTCTGTCTGAGTGTCACACCATCCTTACACTGTGATGCTGTTGACAGAGGAAAGACATTAAATAAAACAAACTGCTCAAACACACATTGTTGGTATCTTAGCTTGTTGTAGAGGGCAGGTAAGTAAAACTTCATGACGACGGTGGACGTGGTAAGGTTTATGGTTTCATGGCCCATATGCAGACGGTCACACACAAACACAGGCAAGAGTCACCTTGTAACTTATATAACACAGTGCACCATCAGAATGAACAAGCCAAGAAAAGGAATAAACTAAAAGGAGTCACAGATGGTTTCGTTCAGGCGCAGATGGACACATTCACTTTTTTCCGCACTATCTCCGCCATGAAATGTTCTTTGGATGATTATCAGTTTCCTTCTCCTCCCAAGTGTTCAGTATTGGAGTTTTTCAGTTATTTTTGAGTCATAGATGCCAGGAGTTGACAGCTGTAGCAGCGACTGTGGTGAAGCTCAGAGGACCCAGCGACACGGAGAGACCCCCGAGGCCCTTGAGGATTACACAATCCAACGAGTCATCTAGATAAACAGCTGCCAGGCGCATACCCTCAACATGCACCTCTTATCAAAAAAACTCCCCTTTTCTTTTACTATTTGGGCCTCTGTCTTACATAAACCTCCCTTGTTCACACCAGTATCTGTCTATGACTCACAGAGGGAGATTACCATGGGAGCAGTAAGGAAACTACTGAAACTCCATCTGAAACATTAGTAGGAAAGGTACAGAAGATAGAAATCAGTGCCTATGGAAGAATTTATTCTGCTGCTGCGTATGACTCACCTAGGGTCTATTCACAGCTGCAGTGTGTAGTGGGAAATGACTTCAGCTGCGCACACGGTGGGCATGTGCATTTCATACTCTTGTAAGATGTGAGTAATATGTGTGAGTGTATGGAAAAAAAACGTGTTTAAGTAGGTGTTTGTGTGTGTGTGTGCACCAAGCAGGAAGTCACAGAGCATATTGTAGGTATGTGAGATGATATTGCAACACAATCTCTTTTTTTTAGCTTGCAATCATTGTTTTTTAAAATGTATTTACTAGGTGTAATAGAAAAACTGGTCCTGAGTACAGTAATATAAGTGGTAGTATATCTCAATCTCCACCCACTCACAGTAGCCTCACTGTTTATTTTCCTTCCTGTCCAAACCGCCTCTTCTATGCTCAGTCTAGTCGGCTGCTGGCCAATTCAACCGCTGATTAATCACCGTTTTTCCTTTTTCTTTCTTTTCTTCTTGTCCCCCATTTAACTGGAGTTGTTTCCACACAGCTCTACATCATGCTCCTGGGTAAGAGTTGAAAGAGGGCCCGGAAGATAGGCAGATAAGGTGGATGTAAGATAAGGAGATTAGAAAAATGAGTGCGCTCACAGAAAGGATAGGGGAAAGACAGGGATGGAAGGGGCCCAGAAGATGGAGGATTAGTAATTTAGCTGACAGAAGAGGTTACAGAGATGAGAGTTAAGGGACTCTCTGAGAAAATCAAGAATCAGAGAAGTGGTGAGGGCTGTAAATCTGGAGAAAGCTAGTTTATATAAACTGACAGAAACTAAAAAGCTAAATATTTGAGGAAAAATAGGAGTCACGAGGAAAACTATGTTGCAGGTTTAACAGGGTTGTTTTGATCTAAACGAAGATATGGCAGTATGTCCAGGAAGGCATGCGGAGAATCTAAGCCTGCTTCACCTTTCCTCTGAGGTTAACTGGCAGGTGCGTAGTCTACGGCAGCCAGGGATTAACAAACTGTCTATTGAGAAATGCCTTGTAGTAAACATACTACTATCTTGATAAAACGTAATCCAGCATGCGTCATTTTATGTGTATGTGTTTGAAGGGAGGTGGTAGAGATTCATGACTCTGTCAGGATTAATCTCATCTCCATAAACCCACACACAGCAGCAAAAATGTTTTTCTTGACTGGATTTAGACGGTTTGACTACAAGTTTCCATTGGAAGTAATACAAAAGGATTACATTTAGGCTGATTGGCAGCTTCTCTAAGCAGACTGAATTACAGGCCAGGAACATCTCACCATTATTTGTTGTTGTATCTAATTCCTACCCAACACTACAAAGACAAGATTAGTTTAATCAGCTGGTTTTGAATATAAGTCTGCATGCTCTCAGTACATCGTAGCAGATCCCACAAGGCACAGGGAGTAAAATACAGACACATACGCACACTCTCAAAATACAACAGCATGTTCCTCTGTGTCTATCCGGGGGGAGATGGGATCATTTTTATCATTTTCAACCCCTCGGGGCAGAGGGACAACTTACTCTGTATGACACTGGGATGCACATGTTGTGCAGATGTCGTCGCTCTCTCTAACACAATATGTTCTTTGTCCAGAACAGGAAATGCCCATGCAAAAATATCCAATACTACAGAAGCCAGAATCGACCTGAAGATGATTATAAACTCAGTGTTGGTTATATCATTACATGAGTCAGTACAACAGCAGCTGTTACTAATTGTTGCGGTACTGATGTCATGTCTATGCTGGTGTTACGTCCAGCTACATTACATTACAAAGCAACCAGGCAGAGGGAGCAACGTTTTTGGAGAATCTTTTTTGCAAATGTTTTCTCTCTCTCTCTTCTGTATGCCAGATTTTAGACATCCGGGGAGTGCAATATTTTCAGCCATGTGAGTGAATATTTCCATGAGCAAACAGAAGTCTGCTTGTAGACAGAAAGATCTGTGTCTATTCAACAAAGACTGATCTAATACGCACATGTCTAAAGCACATAGTATGGAAAACTGTCATTTGCTGAAAGATAGCATTTGAATGTCTGGTGATATTTTGAATCATGTTTACTTATTATTACTTAGTTTATAAGTTTTGTAGGGTTTTGTAGAAAAACATGTTTTTTCCTCCTCTAGAGAAACTCAGGTCTACCCAGGCATGCCAGCAGCTCTGTGGGGATAGGCACAGCAGGGCTTTGAGCTAAATGCTAACATTGGCCTGGTTACATGCCCACAATGAAATTGCTAACACACTTACATTTAGCAGGGAGTGTTTACCATGTTCACAATATTAGTTTAGAGTGCTAGGTTTTGCACATTTGATACTTAGCAGCAGACAAAAAAGTACAGCGGAGACTGAGAAAGTCGAGTGGTCAACAGACTTGTTACAAATTTACATGGAAATGAACATGAAATCTCATGAAAAGAAACAACTTCTTACAGTTGATGAGACATTTCACTAAAAAAACTGCCACAAATGTTCAGGCGATGACAAGAGTCAGTACGATTCATGCTTCGGGAACAACAGATGTCTGTCCTGCATTTAATGACAATCGATTCAGTAATTTTTGAGATATTTCAGTCTGGACCGAGGAAGTCTACTTACTGACCATCATTGCCATCGATGCTAGCAGCCATGGTCTCCATCAGTATATGTGAGGAAACATGCTGCTGTGTGTCAGAGTGTCCAATACCTGAGTTGGCTCATGGTATCCAATGTCAAGGTTGCGCTCTGATGAGCAGGATTTAACAGTCAAAGTCAGGGATGATTTGAGAGGCCCTCAGCTAAGAAGGAAAGCTTGCTTGCGATGACGATGGGGAAGAAAAGTGCAGAGGAAAATAAGAAAAGATACAAGTCTCTCAACAACAATAAGACCAATAATTTGATATTTAGAATCAGATTACAGGGCCAGAGGGTTGCTGCAAAGGGGTTTCTTCATTGTAAAATTGGACAGAAAGAAAAAGGAGACTGGACTAAACCAGTAGAGCTGTTCGTCACTGTGGACCTCTGCACAGCAACGGCTTCTCAGTCTAACAGAGCAGTTAAGTATTACTTGCCATACAGATGTGTAACTTGTTTGTACTGTGCTACGTAGAGAGAGGTGAGACTGTAAAAGCAGTGTATGTATGTGAATTTGTGTGTACGTGAGATAGAGAGAGAAAAACAGTGAGGGGAAATGGGTGAGGGAGTATGTGCGGTTATGGTGGTATGCTGGTAGTGGGGGAGGTCGCAGGATTGACCGTTACAAAATTCCACACCTTGAAAAAACATATGGACTGCTCCCACCATATTTTCTTGCTTATTTTAAATACGGCTAATACATTAAAATATATTAATACTACTTTAAATGAAGTTGATTTATATATGAGGAGATATATGAGCTCTCGACATGCATTATAGATTCAGCAGGAAGTTTTCCAGGCAGTCATCCAACTTCAAGACATCTGCCTTACACTAAAGCTGTCCATTTAGCTCTTAGCACAAACCAACGACTGTTATAGGTTCCTCTCTCGTGGCGCTTCACTGCCTCGGGGGGTGTCAAAACTCCATTGGAGTATCGGACCACACAGCAGGGTCATGCTTACGGAAGAGAGGAGGCTACAGAACCAATCGAGGATGCTTTTGATCCCCAGTCGAAGAGGATGTCCAGCTTATAAGTGCTGAGCCCCGCAACATCTTTGGCTGATGTTCCGCTTTCATGCAAGCCACAGATCAAAGGCTGAAGGTCAGCCTTTAAGGGTGAGGCACTTTAACGGCTCTGTGACTCCACACACACACACACACACACACACACACACACACACACACACACACACACACACACACACACACACACACACACACACACACACACACACACACACACACACACACACACACACACACATCACACACACACACACACACACACACACACACACACACACACACACACACACACACACACACACACACCACACACACACACACACACACACACACACAGATGCTACAAATACTGTCATATGATAGGACCATGAGCATGTAAATAAAGTGTACCTTCTCAAACATGTCTACACATATTTAGTATATGAATAAGTGTTTTCAGAACTTCAAATTAGTCCGCACACATTCCAAGAAACACACCCTGACAGATATAAAGGTCTGGTGACTAAATGAAACAGCTGCTAAACTGTGTTGAGCCACAAAACACTTTCAGGAAAGAGATTACAGGCATAACCAGATTGGGGGAGTAAACCACAGGTCCACTTCAACCAGAGACTCTCACTTCGTCACAGCTGGATGCAATAAAACCACTGCTGTGTTAAGTGGTGGATTGTATATAAAAAATAAATTAGTATCTTGTACATCAATGCCCTTGTTGCAAACGTACAACTCTATAACAACAATCAATAATGCATACTGTTAGGTAGTGGATGATATTTATATAAACAATAAATGATGTTCTTGTACATACATCCACAAGTCCTTGGTGCATATTTACAACTTCATAAAAATGTAATTATGACCTGGTATACCCAGCCAAAAAGATCTGGTGCCATAAAAGAGCTTAGGGACAGATCAGGTCTAGTGCTCTGTGGTTTAGTACTTCACCTTTCTCTTGATTTATGGTTTATTTTCCACTTCTCTGGGAGTACTGGACTGTCTGTTCTTGGAAGTGTGTTATGTCTGCTGTTAAAATGGGAGGTATTTTTTCTTACTATACTGCCAGTTAAATAGTATCTTGCCCAACATATGAATGAATAATCACTTTTTTAACGGATAAGACTTAAAAAGTAGGACATTTATAGGCTCGTAATACCATAATGCAGTTCTGGATCATCCTGTGTACTGTTACACCATTTTAACCTTTAAAAAAAAGCCATCTTCCCTGGGAACACTATCAAAGCAGCCAATAAATCTCTCTTGAGCTGCTTCACATTAGATAGGGCCTTTTTCTCTTGTCAGTGGTGTAGGGTGTGCTGTTTTTCTTTTAAATTGGGATCTTATGGCAGGACTCTGCATTACATCCAGAAACACTTTGGAGCAGCTCTCGATGAGAGTCAGGTTCAACCCCTGATGAGGAACAGGTGAATCCAGATCTTCTAACCCTACCTTCATGTTGAGGTGTGTTGAACTACTCCTGTTAAATAGGACTACAGTGTAAACACACACAAACACAGACAACAAGCTGCGCACCTGCCAGCCGAAATAGAGCCCCACTTGTTGCCATTTCACCAAAGTTTTCCCCACTTTCTGGAGGGACACGCCTTTTCCATTTCCTGGGATATTTGAATTCAGTTTTGACATGCTAATGTTAATGAAACGCCTTAAGGGACTGGTTTAATCGCATGGCCGATGTGCATCATGTGTCACGCAAACTAGGCATTTTAAAATATATTACTATAATCCCCATAGAACTGAATAAAATGTTCAATTTCAGCGTCAAATGCGCAGTAATAGCCTTTTCCATTATAGATCCTATTGGCTACATAACACCCTGATACAAGTGATTTTTAAGTGAGCTATCCGTAGCTAACTAGCCTACCAAGTTAACGTAACGAGACGAGAGTATTGTATCTTAATTAATTTAAGTTAATAATTAAGTTTAGTCGAAAGGTAACGTTGGTAGAAGTAAGCTAAAATATAGAGTTCTACATTTGTCTGTATTTAATAAATATTCACTTAGATAGAGGGTTAGTTTTACAATCATAGGATAGGATGACGTTATTCGCTGCTGGTCACGAAGAGCAGTAACGGCGTTACTGCGCACGTTACCCTCCCAACAGCACGAAGCCACAACAGTGGGTTCAACCGACAGGAGGAAAGATATAAAACGCTCTTCCTGGTAACAAAACACACAATCTAAGCAGTACCACGGAACAGGTGAAATGTGAAGTGTTACATTAGTCGATGTAAACCCGAACAGACGGGGACCATGGCTCAGGTAGAGACGTCACTCGTGGGTCACTGCGCAAAGCACCGCCGCATAGGAGCCTCTCCACCGCTGTTATAAATTCCATGTTACCCACACAAGCACAGCTTACCTGCAGGTCTGTGCGGGTCCTCACACGATGGCGTCCTCTGCGGCAGGATATGAGGACTAATACATACCGAGTTGGTCAAAAGGAAAGATGTAACGTTAGTCCAGGTTCAGCGCGTAATAGCCGCAGGGTGGAACTGGAAATAGTAAAGACGGTGCTCTAACGACAAACAGAGAGGTTCAGCAGCCCAGTGCCACTGCGCTCTCTGGCCATGAGCTAGTGAGAAGATAAACGCCCCCTCCGCCTGCTACCATCTCTCTCCACATCGCTCCCTCCCTCTCATGTTTTTACTTACAAGCAGATAAACACGATGGCTTGCCTACATAAACCATGCTATCAACATATGGTCTGTTATGCAACTAAAGCCCGGCACGCAGTTTTGAGCACCCTTTATCTGCCTTTTTAGAAAGCAGCCTGCTCAGACAGTGCCCAGTGGAAATATGACGATACTGACATCATCACACACATCATGCAATGCAACTATCCACTATCTCCTCACGTCTCTCTCCTCCTGTGTTTATTTCCTTCTCATATCACATGATGTGCTTCAGTTTTGGTTCTTGTCCTTTTTCCAGGTTATATGTTGGATAGGAGTTTGTTTGGCTCATGCTCTGTTGCAGAAACCTGAAAGCTTGACATCCTCATTGCCAATTTTTTCACATCACAATCTGTGCATCATTTTGGCATATTGATTCTCTAAGCATAATGCGTTTTTATGATGTCTCTTCTGCACACAGAACAACTATTCCACATATCATGTGAGACGGACCACTTAAAGGTGTTGTTTTTGAAAATGTTACCTCTCCAAATCGGATTTAAATGCACCCTATGGTACATCTGTGATATGGGGAATCAAAAACCTATTTGAGTTGACTATCTAGGTTTCCATTTCTCAAATGATGGTAAAAGTCTCCCATTGATGTGAAAAAAGTGTCATGACAAGAAGACAGGTGAGTAGGCACCTGACGTTTCTGGCAGTCGTGCAGCAGCAAGGACAATGAGCTGGGAACAGAGCAGTGCATGAAACTCTAACTCCCTCGCCTCTCCTGCCCTCCAGCCTGGGTTTGCGGAGGGGGAGTAAGCAAACCTGGGCCAAACTCAAACGGTTTTCTCATGCCACATGGCACCTTGGCTCTATGCATGCCTCTCCTTTATCCCTGGTCTGATTGTGTCTCTGTCGTACACAAACACAACACTCTAGGTTTTTGAACATGCTGTTGAAACTGCAGTTCTGACTCGACTGAGCCTAAATGCAGAACATTAAATAGGCCGATACATAACTCTCATATCAACAGCAACCATCTCTCTGTATCATTGTTTTTCTCTTGTCACTCTCATTAGATTGTCTGCACTGTACAATCCTAAAATAACCTGTGCAGCTCAGAGGATTGTGCTAATGCCATTACGTTGCTACTGAGCCAGAGGGAGATACTGAAGAGATGGGACAGGAAGAGCGAGGACACTTCAAGTTGACATTATGGCACATGGACTCATATTCCATAGGCAGGGGCTTAGGGTTCAACATATTTGTATCACGTATGTAACATGCTACTTATATTTATAAAGAACATAAAGGGGAATGGATGTTTGTATCAAGTTTTTGAAAGAAATGTAATGCAATTTAGATTATGATCATATGTAGGCTTTGTGTGTCTGTGTGTGTTTGAACGTGTACCTCTATCTGCTACTTACCTCCTGAGTGCAGTGTTTATCATAGAAAATGATAATTATCCAGTTACGTTAATAAGATTACTTTAATCTGGTGTACCAGAAGGGATCTGATTAAGCTAATATCCTCCAACTACATTAAAAAGACCCCGATGAGTCTAGTTTCACAGGTGCCCTCTTTCTATAGTGTAAACCAAGGGGAGGATAAGTGAGATATTTGATCTTTGGTGGTCCCATGTTGCTTCACTTATTAAAAAAAATGCCTCCTGTCCTAGTTTTTATAATTATATAGTGGGTCATTGCACATTATGACACAGAGAAGCTTTCCCAGCCGTGGACCTGAAGGGTAAAACTCAATCAGATTTTTACTGTAACTATTAATCTGTTTTCTCTTTTTTTAATTGAATAATTGTCCTTATATCTATAGATAAAACAAGGCCAAATAGCTGCATTTTGAAGGAAATGTCCAACTTGTATAAAGTCAGAACAGCTCATCTTACACATATTGCCTTTGACTAACAGCTCTTGATTTATGGGGAATTTTCTCAGGCTTTAAATAAAGTGCAAGGGGAGCAGTATTTAAAGTTTGCTAAATTAACAATTTCTTAAAAAGGAAGAAGTTAGAAGCACCGACACTGATATACACCAAAACTACAAATGGTACTCATGGTATTCCAAACCCATATTATGGATAGGGTTTCTATACCATCTTTGTCCAGGAATGTGGTGAATACATTCCACTTAGTCATTTAAATTGATCCTAGTAAGGGCTCTGAAATGTAACTCCGGAGCAGACAGAAGCGTTTCTTCCTCCAAATCTATCAGGCATTGAACCTTAATCACAGCCAGTCAAAAGGGGATCCTATCAGATGGTAGAACAAAGTGAGCTTTTTTCATTGAGAACAGCCAAGACCTTCAAATGCTAATGTCCATCCACATATATGACGCAGAATAGCCTAAGATATAAAATACCTCCCCCAGCTCTGTACTTCCAGCCTCTCTCTCCATGACTTTCCCCTCGCCCTATGGTTGTCTAGACACCGAAGAATAATCTCCCCAACTCTGGGCCCCAAAGACAGACTTCCATGTGGGGACTGCCTCATCCCGTCCCTCAGT